AAGAAAACAAAATAAACATTTTTATTTTTAAACGATTTATTTTATTTAAAATAATGATTCTATCAGATTTTATTTTATTAGAATGTTGATTGTGTATTTATTTTTCCTCTGTTATTTCAAGCGAGAACTTGAAGTTGTTCCAAACTGTTGAATTTCTACAATATTCATATATAATAAATTTTTTCGTGGGTTGAATTAATGGTTCGTTCTTGGCTTCTCATAAGTCTAGCCATAGATTTTAAAAAGATAATTTATGTATTATATGTAATGGCATGAGCTTGTTTAAGTTCAATTCCGAACCGAACCATAGGAATACTGATATTAATATTAAATTTGTGCAATCATTTTATAGGAATTAATTATATTAATGTCTGGTTATAAACATTTTTACAAACACAACAATTTCTTAGAGCTGGGACATTCTGATTTTTCCATATGATAGTAATGATTGTATTAGCAACTTGCAGGTTCTAATTTATCACATTAACATTTACAATTGATTGGTTCGGTATAATAAATTGACATGATATGAAATAAATCTTTAGTATTGGAGCGTTGATATTTGGAGCACATTAATAGATCAATGTATCTGGAACTCAAGAAATGTTAAACTAGTCAGATAATTTGAATATTAGGGTATTAATTACATTAAATTTTTTCTAAACCAGTAATTAAATAATTAGAAATGCTAAAAAATTTTTAGGGATGTCATTTGCATTGCAATATCAGGAAAAACAAATATATAATAAGCATGTATTATTTGCAATTGCTCGGGATTCACCTATGATTCACGTATATCAAGCAAGATATTGGATACTCTTGAAAAATTGATGATGATATATTTGCCAAAGAATTTTCATTTGCAAGTCAAGTTGATTATTCTCATCACAACAACAATAAACACCAAGAGGCAATGCACCATCATTGGTCACCCGGGTTCTAATAATTTCAGACAGAATAACAGAATAACAGAATAACAGATGTTGTTTCCTTGGAATGTAATAAACACTAGTAATGTCTCTTTTTTCCATGAAAATATAAACAAAAGATAAAATAGACATTGTTTATATGTAAATTCGGTGTCGCAGAATGAATATAAAATACGCATTCTCTAGGAGTTTAGCCCCTCTCTGTTCAAATTTATTTAATAACTAAACAATTAATTTGCATCTCTCCATGAAACATATACTTCATCTGTTCTGAATCTATTTGTTATTAAAATAATCATTAATCAATTAAGAAATAAGCAATATATTAATCAATCAATTGACCGATTAATTATACCTTTGAGTACATGTGGTTTCTTCAAAAGGTGTTACAAAATCAGTTTTATAGGCTAATAGTCCTGCATGAGCAATCATAATCCCATTATCAATACAAAATCTATAGTTATAAATATATATATATATATTCCAGTTATTAATTTATTCTTTGATTGTTTATTATTTTCTTTATCATAAAATTTTAATTTTTACCTTTCATCAGTCGCAAAAACTTTTCCTGCACGCTGTTCCGCCATTTGTTGCATCATTTCTTGTAATCTTAAATTACCTGCGAAATTAAAATTATGTATATATTTATATATCCACATGCATTATTTATATATCTCTCATGTAATGATAAAAACTTACATCCAACCCCTCCTACAATCAAAACTTCTTTGCTTTCAATATGAGCCATGGCTCTTTCTGTTATTTCTACTAACATTGCAAATAAAGTTTCTTGAAGTGAAAAACAAAGATCTTCTGGTGTATATTGATCTGTTGAAAGTAATTCATCGGCTATGCTTTCAATGTATGATAAAATTCCTGAAAATGAAACATCCATTCCTTTAACTGTATATGGCAATTCTATAAATTTACTCCCTCTAAAAAATTATCTTAATTATTATTAATATATATAATTAATTAAAAAATGTAACTTTCTAATTAAAGCTTATCATCTACCTTTTAGCAGATTGTTCAATATTATATCCGGGACTTGGATCATTTGGTAAATTTAAAATTCTAGCAAATCTGTCAAGACAATTACCGACTGCAATATCAAGTGTTTCTCCAAAAATTCTATATCTAATTATGTATGTTTTTTTAATAATAATTAAAAATATAATTAAAGGAAACCTTTTCTTTCTTTTAATTTCCTTCCCAAAATACACTTCATATATATATTCCTTCTTTCTCTATCCGAATGCAATTACCTTCTCACCTATGTTCAGAATAAGCAATAACTTGAGTATTACCTCCACTAACATATAAAACTACAGGATTATCAGCTTTTGTTATTTCCCTTCCCATTTCAATATCTAGATTTTGATAAATAAACAAAATTCTTATTTGTATAAATAAATAAATAAATAAATAAATAATCTTTCTTATAATTTTTTTAACTTACGCCCAATACAATGGTTTACACCAACGATTGGTTTATTCCATAACAATGACAATGTTCTAGCCACTATAGCAACAGACACTAAAGGTGCCCCCATTCCAGGCCCTTTTTTAAATGATTAATAAATAATCCTTTATTGTTATGCGTGTATATGCGAAAAAATTATTACTTCATCAATTATCTTTCTTCTTATTTTTACCTTTAGTATAACAGATAACATCGATATCTTTAATTTCTATATTTGCAGTTTTCAATGCCTCTTTAATCACTGGAATAATATATTTTCTATGGTGAGCTGCTGTATCACGTGGTAAAAACCCAGTTCCTGGTGGTGTTATGTGTGTATGTCTTACATTTGCTAATATTTTAACTTGACCGTTTTCCAAGTTATGTTCTATTAAACCTATACCCAATTTATTCGCTGAACCTTCAAGTCCTATTGCGATCATTTCTTTATTTTTGAGATGAATTCAAATTTTTGTCATACATTTAGATATCGGCCATTCTTGATATTAATTTGTATTAGCATTAGTATGTGTAACTGCACCAAAAATTTTTTATACTTGGACAGCTATTTTTTTTTTTTACATGTGTTTATATATTATAATAGGGACGATCTAATTATCATTGTTTCTACTCGTTCTTTTTAGCTTTAGAGATTAAATGAAAATCAAAATTGTTTTATTAATGTATAATTAATAGGTGTTTTTATTTTCTATTAATATACCTGGCAACTGTTTAATGTTTTCTAGTCTTTTTAATCTAATACTTTTTATTTCTTATTTTATAAATTAGTCAAAATATTAATGGTTTACAAAGAAAGACACGAGACTCAAAAACATAATGAATTAATAGATCACTTTAATGTATTTATACATGCATATGTGTCACTTTATTAAAATTTTTTTGCAGGCAAACTATACATTTATAATATGGCAGCGAACATAAATTGGAGCAGAAATGATCAAACAGGACAATTTAGGCTGAATTAATAGATCCTTCTGTTGATGTAAAGTAAATATATGACAACTATTAATTATTTTTACATGATGACATGACATACTTTAGGTTTCTATCTTCTATACTGCTCAAAACAACTAAAAATAAACTACTTGTCATTAGGAGCTTCTTCTTTCAATTAAAAATGACTTTAGGCGGAAATTGCAAGCTTCATATATAATCATTAATTATTTTTACATGATTACATACTTTGTATACCTATCTTACATGGAACTTTGGATTACTCAAAGCAACCAAAAACGAACTGCTTGTCATAGGAGCTTCTTCTTCAATTAAAATCGAATTCAGATGGAGTAAAGTAAATGTATTGCAAAGGCTGCAGGTTTTATATAACCATTGATTATTTTTACATGGTGACATACTTTAAGTTTCTATCTTTTAGATTACTCAAAATGAACTAATTTGATTGAAAATTTTTGTGCAAGAATCACACAATTATTATAAAAAGCTTGCACTTGATCAATTTTTGAATTAAAAAATATAATCAATATAGTAAATAAATAAACAAAACTTTTTACAACAAACATATTAATCTATGGTTTCAATTTCAGACTATATTAATTACAAAGGTTAAGATTTATGTGAAAATTAAAATAATATTTATTAATATTAATATATTTATCCAAAAGATTTTCAACCCAACTAGTTTAGTTTCTCTTGGATCAAAATTTTATCTGAAAAATCTTTCGATTCATTGCACTTTCATTTCTTCTTTCTTCTTTTTCATCTTTGACTACTTCATATTTTTTGCCTAATAATTATTAGAATCATGAAATTTTGTAATTTTTCATGGACATGATATCTAAATGTCATGAAAGTAAAGTAGTTTTTTAGATCTATATAAATAATTATGTGTGTATAGAGATGGTGATTTATGCAGCAATGACGGGTGCTATGAGGTAGCTTTTTGGTTAGTATTGTTTATGGCCAAATTTGAATGATTAATTGCAAACTTTTATATTCAATGCTTATCAATTAATTTATTTTACAAAATTATTTAGCAATTATCCCGCTTACTGCCTCTTTCTTGTACCTAGAAAGCTTCGGCGATCTGTAAGCACACTTTTACTGTAATAATAAAAAATGAATAATAAAAATGTTAAATACACAAATTTTTAACATTCCGTTTAAATAATCGCTGTATATAAATAAATGAAAAAGAGGCTAGGTCACATGACCGAAATACGATTGGATAACACTTTGATAAATGCGTCTTATTTATTTTTATCACAATATAAATTTTTTGTTTTTCAATTTATCTTTACTAATTTTTTAATGGATGAAAAATTATTAATAAAGAACATGATCAATAAATTGTGAATTGTTTGTTTCGTAACAAAGTAATTTTTTTATTATTCTATGATAATAATAATAACGAATTGTTGTTATTAAAATGTTAGAATGACATGCATATTAATGTTGAATTCAACTGCAAATTTGGAAATCATTTGCGCATCATAATTAAAATGAAAAACTTTAAAAAGAAAAATTCGTAAGGCAAAACCTAGTTGAATTGCATAGAATTTTAAATATATAAACAAGAAAAAAAAAGTGCGTGAATAATAAAAGAAAGTTGATTAATTGTAATAGATATGGAAGGAATTTTAGATAACGATTGTAATAACAATAATTTAATAGAAGTAAAAATCAACACAGATGTAAATACACAAGAAGTTTCTCAAAAGTCCATTAAACCACATAATGGAAAATCTATAAAAACAATAATTTGTTCACCAAACTTAAAATATGTTGCAACCTTTAGTGAAGATGATAATTCAATTGTTGGATGGTTAGTTGATGATGTACATTTGAAAAATGATAGAAGATTAGAACCAGAAACATTTTTTAGTCCTTCCAATGTATCACAACAAAATGGTCAATCATCAAATATACCAAAGATAACTTCTATAAAAACAGTATCTGACCAAAAATTTATTGTTTTTGAATCTAATCTAGATAGTTGTTATTGTAAGTTGATAAAATTTATGAAATAATTTTTTTGTTAACAAATTAATAAAAATTTTTTTGTATTAATAAATTAATTTATTTGCTTATTTACTTTAGGTTTATTTGATTTAGTAAGTAAACGACATATTAAATTATTGAATCATCAAAAAAAAATTGATTACCAACACCCAACATTTTTAACAAATGGAGATCTATTTGTAATTTCATATGAGAATGATCAAATTTATTTATTTTCATTGAATTCAAATGAAAAAATCAGTGAATTAACATGTAAAACAACATACAGCATAATTTTACCAAAACTAACAGCTTTTGATCATAATAATAATGTTGCAAAATATTTTGTCATCGCAAATTCAAATTTATTGATCAACAATGGTATCATGATGGCTTCACAATGGGATTTAACCAAAATGAGATTTGAGTTGCAATATTTTTCAGATATTTCATTACCAAATAATTTCTATAAATATAATGATAATCATGCAATATTTAACAAGGATAAGACCTTATTAGCAGTTTATTTATATGTAGAAAAACAATTAATTATTTATTCAACAGCATATGGAACCAAGTTAACAACATGTAGGTTTCTATTTTTTTTATTGTTTACTATTTGTTTATTTATTTTTTATTTATTGTTTCCTTTTTTCTAACATCTTTCTATTTTCTTAAAAATTATTCAGTTACATTTGTAAAAATCGAATGTGATGAAATGGTTTTTATATACACAGAAGACAACACAGAGCATTTATTTGTAGCATTACAAGACGAATATATTACCAACACAGTCATTTATAGATTCATGGATCCATATAATTTAAATAATTTTACTGATATAACTGAAATTTATACAAAGTATTTATTTAAAGATAATCTAATTAAAAAACATCACAAAAAAAAATTAGAAAAAAATAAAGTAATTAAAGTAATGGATAATAATTTTATTTTTTTACAAGAAATTATATCAAAAGAAATTAAATTGCCAAATTCACACCTAAAGAATTTCAACCATTTATTTTTATCACCATTTATACTGGAGAGTATTTGTAAAATATTTGACGAATTATTAAGTGATGAAATTACAGATTATTTTCAAGATAAATTCGAATTAGAATCAAATAACAATCAAATTAAATGGACAATAGATCATTATGATAAAGAATCAGGTTATTTGAAATTAAAACATTTAGGGGCTAAGTTAGATGAATATGATTATTTTGAACAATGCACCCATTTCTTATTAAGGTGTAAAATATTAGAAAATGATGATTTATTATTAATCACAAGATTAGGTATGATGATATTTTCAGTGAATCTTAATGATAAAATTTATTTAAAATACTTTTGGAATGATTGTATTGAACAAGAGAAAAAACATTGGATGAGACATACAAGTGACAAACAATATATTAAAGGTAGAATTTTAAAGGGGTTTGACAGCTTTAAAACCTCAAATAAATTACCTTCACCTAATTATGACCAAACTTGTATTAGTGAGGTTACTTCAGGGCAATCATTTTCTGAAGGCTTTGCCAACTTTAAAAAATTAAATAGATTACCTTCACTTAACTATAATTATATCTTTGATAATTATAACCAATCTTATGCTGGTGGAAATAACATTTCAAGGCATCCATTCAGAGATATGTTATTAGCAATATTAGAAGATATTTCTTCGTTTACAATGTTTGCTGATGAAATCTTAATATGTGCTTTAAATAATCATAAAGGTTCAATAGTAGAACTAGTTTGTGATAAATGTCTAAATTTTTTACAACAAAATCCTGAAATGAATCTTGGATTATTAACATTTTTAGTAAACAAATTACCAAAATTAAGTAAACATTATCCTGGGGTAGTAAAGAGATTTCTTGAGCAAACGTCAATGTTATTGGATCCTTCTTGTGAAAAAATCTTTATATCAGATTTGCCAAGTCATTATGGGCGTTGCTATGACATTGATTTATATAGAAATAATTTTTTTTGGAACCTATATTTTTTATTTCATAATAATTATTATAAATTTACAAAAATAATTGGAAAGCATTTTGATGATTATTCAATATTTTCAAATAATTATGAAAAATATTCTTTAAGTTTAGTTGTACCTTTACCAAAATTCACAAGTTATCCAAATTGTTATTCATTTTGGAAAGAATTATTATACAGACCTGATTCTAATACTTTTATTAAAATGAACAGTAAAGAATTATTTAAAAGCTGGAATGGTGAAGCTTTATTAGATTTTAAATGGCATAAATTTGCTTTAAAATATTATTTAGGAATTTGGTTATATTTTATAATATTTTTTGCATCTTTTTCATTTATCACAACTTTAAAAAATGATGTAGATAAAGTTACAAGGAACATAATTTTATTAATTTCAATCATTCTTGGTTTTTCTCATCTAATAATTGAATATAAAAGATTTATATGGAGTCCAAAAAATTATTTATTTGATTTTTGGAATTATTTTGGTAAGAATATTTATATTTATATATATATATATATATATATAATTTTTTTTTTTTTTTTAATGATTTTTTTTTAAAAATTAGATTTAGGTTCATATTTATTTCCAATAATCACATCTTTGCATTGGATAATAAATGATAGTGCACCAACTTGGATGATGTCTCTGTCTAATTTATTATTGGATTTGAAATTTATGTTATTTTTAAGAGCTTTCAAATCTTATGGAAAATATTTTGCAATCATGATAGGTGTTGCAAAAAAAGTGTTTTCATTTCTAGTTATTTTATTTATAATAGTTTTTAGTTTTGCTCATGCATTATTCATACAATTAAGACCAAAAGATGACTATGATTTGAAAATACCAGATATAAATTCAGATGACAGCAATAATCCTTGGAATATTGTATCAAGATATTATCAAATATTCACAAATGGAACAGTAGATAATAATCCATTTTTAATACAACAACCTGAATTAAGCACAAACATGTTTGCCGAATTTTCTACATCATTGTTAGCTATGTACAACATTCTCACAGGTAAAATACATATTTATAATTAACAATTAATTAATATCAAATCTTATTATTATTTATTTTTCCTTTAATTTTAAAGGTGATAATTTGGCTCTTTCATCAAGATCATATCAACAAGATCCATATTTAAGCTTATTAATGGTAGCCTTTTCATTTTTGATTGTGGTTTATTTACTTAATCTATTTATTGGTTTATTGAGTAATGCCATTGAGGAGAATGATACTAGAGAAGCATTCTTGGCTCAAAAAGCAAAGGTGATAATAATAATAATAATTCATTTTTCTTTTCAAATAAATATATTAATTAAAAAATTTTTTTAATATATTAATTTAGATTATTCATGAGATAGAATTATTTTATTTATTTCCACAACAACGACGTTGGCAAACATGGTTTCCTGATTTGATGTAAGTTTTCATATATGTGTATATATATGTATATGTAGATACAAGTTGTTTGACGATTTTATTTAACGAGGTTATTATCAATATTAGATATTATAATGTTACAGTTGAAGAAATACATCAAAAAATCCAATCTATAGATAAAAATAAAGACAAATATGAACATCCTCCTATAATCTCAGACAAATTACGTGAATTAGTAGGAATTCCTGTACAAAAATTTAAAAAGGATTTGTCAAAACAATATGAAGAAATCAAGAATGATTTTAAAAGTTTACAAGAAAATTATGTGGAATTAAAAAATCAATTGGATGCTAATAATAAATTCATGGCTGATCAATTGGAAAAAAATAATGAAAAAAACAGAAAATTTGTAACTAGTCAATTCAGACAAAGTAACGATTATCTCATTGAAACACTTACAAATCAAACTTAAATTTGTAACACCTTTCTCAAAATAATAAATGTATTGGGGGATTTTTTGTTGTAAAAATTAAAAGAATATCTATTAATTTACCCCAAAGATTTTCAACCCATCTAGTTTAGTTCTCTTCCATCAAAATTTTATTTTGCAAAACCTTTCAATTCATTGCACTTTCATTTCATCTTTATCTCCTACTTCTTTCTCATCTTTAACTACTTCATATTTTTTTTCTAATAGTTCATATGAATTTTGTAAGTGTTATGAATTAAAAGTAATTTTTTAGATCAATAATATTATTATGTATATTACATGGGTATAGGGATGATTATTTTATGCAGCAATAATGGATTCTGTGAGGTAGTTTTTTGGTTAATACTGATTGTTTATGCCGAATTTGAATGAACACTCGTCGATTAGTTGCAAGCCTTTATATTTATCCTGCTTACTGCCTCTTACTTGTACCTAGAAAGCTTCGGCGATCTGTAAGCATATTTTATGGTATGATTCACAATAAATAAAAATAGCCCTTTTAGAAAACAACAATGGCTTTTCTAAGGTTCCTTTTTTATTTACTATTTATTTTTACTCTTCCTTGGCTGCTTAAAAGCTTAGTTACTCAAACCATTTTTCTTTTAATAACGACTTTGATTAATAAATGTCTGCACTTTATAATTTGGTTAACAATCGTTAACACTTTATACTTTTGCCAAACAGCTACATCTTACGTTTACACTTAAACTCTTTACAAAAATGTAAACAAAAATTGAACCTTTGATTCTTTACTAAGCAAAAACCTTACTACCCGTTGTTAACATTAAACTGGTTAATCAACATTAAAATTAAATTTTTGCTTTCTCACTAAAGCAAATAACTGAGACCTCAGAGTTTTATACCACTTTGAAAATTATTTAAATCCTACTGTTTAATTTCCGACCACAAGTGTTTTATTAAACGAAAAAGAATTAATCACTTGAACTTATTTATAATAAATTTTATATTAATCCCACCGATTTAAGGGTAAGAAAATCAATAACGCAGTAAATTAATAGATAAAATAATAATATTACAAATAGTAATCCAAAGAATAAGAATAAACCATTTCCTCGGCATCTTCAGCAACACCTGTAATTTTTGAATCTGATATCCAAAAACCAGCACCAGATTATAATTAATAAATAAAGGCTCCAGGCTTTAACTCTCAGTTCTTTTGAGTTTAGATCTAAGTTGCCACAATGATTGCAAGGGGATGTTAGTATTAATTTCAAATAATTTTATGCGGACATAAATATCATCAAGTCTAAATTATTGCCTTCAATGATTTATTAACAGAATTTTCGATTCTTCTTTATTATTTGATGATGTATTTTATCATCATCATCTAACTTATTTAATTCACAATATGTTCTTTTTATTTTTTTTTACATTCCCAATTTACTTTATATAATTCAAGTCAATAATTGCTTGATACCAAAAGAGCAAGCCATTTTGAACACTTTCTTCTGCTGCAGCATTGCTAATATCTAAAAAATTTATCAATGATGGATATTTTTCAATTACTTTTGCATGTAAATAGATAATTTTCCTTGACTTCTAATTCATCTCTCAATGTTGTAAACATATAATTATAATGTTTTATTTCTTTCAAATTAGTGAATGTATGATCAGCTTCAAAATTATCAAGTGTATACTGCAGCTCTGTGTCATTTTTTACATTGATAGACAATTGAATGAGCTTATTCTTTTTTGTTAAGATTGAATAACCAGGAAACAATAGAACCCATACTTTGTCTTCACTTTCTGAATCAGGATCCATGCCTTTAGGGTTTGTTAGTCATAAGATGTATGAACTAAGGTTGCGGGAGAAACTCCTCCAGAAATCAATTGACAGAGTTTCGACAGGTTACACATTAATTGTTTATTAGAGTTTCGGCAGAGTTTCACATTTGGGGTTTTTGCCAATCATCAGAGTTTCGACAGGTTACACATTAATTGTTCATTAGAGTTTCGACAGAGTTTCGACAGTCATTAAGAGGTTTCGCCCACAACCTTAGTATGAACTGTTTAAACCTTGATATACTTTCATTGCATTCAATTGATATGAATCATCACGAATCAAAGCAGTTGGATTTTGTCAAAAGAACTAATATTAATTGTTTATACCAATATTTGCTTGACATTTTCAAATGCTAAATAAATAAAATTTTATTAACAAAAATTGGAGTTATAACTTATTACATGTAAAACATAAGAAACTAGAAAAATTACATGTTAGACTCCTCCAAGTAATACTGAGAAATGAGCAACTTTACTAAGTAGTAAGTAACTTTAGATTAGTAATGATTTGGAGTGAATAACTCATAATAATGGAACAATACCTTTTATTATGGAAATTTAGAATTTCTAAATACTGTGATAATTGATGATCTAGATTCATTGTGCAACAAATACTCTAGAAAAAACATCAAAACAAAATGATTGGCCAAAATTTATGCAGATTATACAGTGCGTAACATCATAACAGTCGCAGGACATTGCGTATTTACAGGGGGTCAAGTGTCACTCATATATAAAATTAATGATCTTCGTGCATAATTTTATATGTAAAATCGAAGAAAAAAATCACTCTGGTATACACAAACCTACCCGATTTAACCAAGATTG